ATATTGGCGCTCTCCTGTACCAATATTTATTTGTTCAAATAAATAAATAAATGTTTAAGTAAAATTTTAAAAAATGTTGAAAACTCTTAAGGTTTGTGGGTACTGATGCACAATTTGTCGTACTTTTGTTTATACAAAGACAGATCTTAAGACTGTTTATAGTTTCCATTGCTCAATTTATTAATAATCGAAATATTTCTTATCAAGATTATTAAATCCTGAACACTGGATCTGTACTACATTATCCAACCTGTAGTTCCATTTTATGAGGTATTTTATTATTCCAACTAAAAATGAAATTAGCACACATCATGTGATCACTTGCAATAATAAAAGTTGTCTAGCTTGACTGATATATGAAAGTCTCATTTCATTAATTACAAGCTTCTTGCGATGCTAAAAGCATGTAAATTAATAAACCAGACGAATGTTAACTGCATTAGTTATATCATGTTTATAAACAATAATGCCCCAGATTGGATTTTTAAATTCATCTTTTTGTGTTGTTTTCAAAATTGATGACTGTACAATCCACTCTAAACAATATTTTTTCGAATTGGAACAGCGATTATTTCGATACTTCCCATGTAACAATTACTTAGAAGAATGCTTGATCTTTTGCGCCATACAAAGTACATTCTAAAATGTTTCCTATGAGAAATAAACTATTCTTTTCTCTGTAAAATTTTTTATTTCTCATATGAGTTCGTAATAATTTCTTCACATTCATGTTTGTGAAGTGGGTCGGTTATATACCATTTACTAAAAATTATATGACTTATTTTGAGACATGATAAACTAGTTGCTAGGAGTTCACGTAGCGTTATCTATGAGATTTTTCTTGAAACACCCACATGTTTTCATTCCAATTGAGGTTTCAACTATATCTATAACTAACTAGAAAATATGTATCCACAGAACTAGCGTTTATAATTAATTGAACACGTGGTACGAAAATAACATAACTTCCTATCATTACTTAGAATCTATCATTAATAATGTATTGAACAATCCATTTGTTCGAATAATTGTGGTATGAAACACTGTAAGCTGGATGTCAATGCATAACTACTATCTATAAAAACATTGTTTGCACGGCGTCGAACAGGTTTGAACTTTTATGGATTGAAGTTAGAAATCGAAACCATTGAGTCTTAGGTGCGTGATTCAATGAGAACTGATTTGATCTATGTGAACACTAAGATATGTTGTTTTTTAAAATTATCAGATCTATCGATAAGTGCTCTGGTCAAAATAAGAACCAACTGAAAAAAACATTACATTCATTTTAATTATCAAAACTATATTGAAATTTCCGAAGATTGCCGAATGACATACTTGATTTGCTATTGTTTATGGTGCTACAAAGCTGATTAAAATTAAGAAATTCCAATGAACTACGTATAGTTTATGTGGTATCAACACATTAAATTAACTTCGAGAATTGGAGGGAGACATCGAAAGGGTGAATAGCATTTGGCAGTAACTGGAAAAGAGTGCCCAGCATAGAGTTCGTTGGTGAACCCTCTTATGGTAGCTTATGTCCCACGAAGGGCAACAGGTGTAAGTAAGTAAGCCTGTTACATAAATCAGTGCACATATTCGCCAACAAAACGTAGGTAAATTAACTCGAGAAAACAATAGTTCAAATACATAAATGAAGAGTTGGCTAGAAGTATTTCAACAAGATATTTTCGTCTTAACGTGATCATAGGTAGTAATTTTATTAGAATATTTAGTACGTTGAACAAAAAATTAAATGTTTGCTACCAACTTGCAAAAGATATGACAGTATTTTTGTTATTCTCATCACGTAGATTGAAAATGGACGTGAATAAATCAACAACATTCTGCTTTCACTTGACTTTTCTGTAATTATAGTGGGAATTACGGACAAAGGTTTGATATTAACTAATGAAATTGAGACAGATGCTGGAAAAGGAATCGTGATATGAAGAATAGGGCATAAACTATATGAGTAAACAATTAATTTCATAAAATTTGTGACCTGTTCGTCTTATTATGATTTTCGGTTCGTTCTCGAATGGCGGTTTGAGATTCATTAAAGTGTATCGAGCGTTTGCTTATGATCGGTCGTGAATCAAACAGAGCAAAAAAGAATCGGTTCATATAATACTGAATAAAGCAGAAGCGAGCGATTTCAAGCCAGAGATAATTTGTAAAGGAATGTTACTTGTTTTACGCTTTTATGCCTCACAAACAGGTAAGGCAGAACGAAACATTTTCTAAAATTGACAACTAACGTCAAAATCTAAAACAATTTTACATATCGTAGTTAGTAATGCATTATTACCTGGATGAATTTTTCAGATGTTTCAGTGAACTGATTAAAGACTAAGTATTCAAGAAGAGTTTGAAACTGGAGTTAGATTGGTGATAAAAAATTGATCTGAGAATTACGTCAGACATAGATGCGAGCTCCATTGAAAGGTTTCAATTCCCTTTTTGTGTTCTGAGAAATTGTAAGAAGGTCTAAAGGAATATATTAAGAATAATTTATCGCTATTATGTTTTATAATTGAGAGCAAACTGAGGCAGTTCTCTGTTGGTTAAGAAACAGTAACCCCAAAGTATGTGACTATTTGATAATAACAAAATTCAATTTACCTTACAAGGAGATAACTTTAATTCATAGTAAATTATAAATTTCTACACGTGACTATTCCGTTTTTATAACAAGTGCGCTGCTAAATACATTTTATTTAGCGCGGAAAATGAAGAAAAATATCTAAAGACAATCTTTCAAAAGAACGGTTACCCAATCAACTTCATCAAAAAACGTCAACCCAACGTATCGGCAAAAACAAAACCAAGTACAGAAACAAGAAACAGATCATCCTACCATATATAAAAGACTTCAGAAAATACAACAAGATTATTGGAGCCAATTGGAATAAGTGTACCACAAATCAGGTGTCACTTCAGTCAATTCTCTGCAAAGCAAAGGACAAAGTGATAAAGAAGAAAAACCGAGAATCATCTACAAAATAAATTGTTCCCAGTGCGAAAAACACTACATCGGACAAAGTGGACACTTCTTTCATCTTTGCCTGCACTAGTATCATTTAGTGGTCAAGTGCCGTGACATATTCTCGCTTATATCAACTCATGTGAACAACTATGAACACACATTTGACTGGAAAAATGTTGCGATCTTGCATAGAGGGAACTTTAAAAACACCAGGGAATTTTTAGAAGCTTGACAATCAGGTCAATCAACAAGCATATTGAGATCGATCCAATCTATCAACCAATCAGAAAACTCATGGACAAATATAGGAACAAGAATCAAGTCAATGGGAGATATCATCAAAATAAAGTAGTAAACAATGACAGATTAATGGTCAACAATAACCAATCAACATCGAGGTCTACAGGATAAGCTGTGCGTCATATGTTGAGAAATTCAAACACTTCGCTTCTACGCGAAGTTTGTGTTGATGATGTTGTTCAGAAGAACGACGAAAGCTCCACGACCACACCATCGAACTGAGAGAATAAAACTCCATTTAAATGACTCTAACTCAAACTCAAATACTTAGAAATTAATTAAGATCTCATTATAAACGTACGCATTTAGTAGATAGTTGTTATTATTTACAGTTTGACTAATTAACTACTAGTCTCAGCATCGCGAGTTTTACGTTGAGTAACTTTGACTATTGACATTATTGCAACTTGATCGACAGAATTGAATCAGCTCTAAAGACCCAAACAAACATTACATTAGTCACCTCTCGGTGATCATTCAGTCACAATTTTTTTCGCATTGACAATAATTTAATGTTATGTACGTTAGTAACTATAACGCATTTTTTTAAAATTCAGGATAGGCTAGCTCTGCTATTTTCAAGAATTTATCTCTCACTTACAAATCGTAGTTAAAAACTGCCATGAGACGTTCGCAAAACAAATGTTATCATTACTTGTAACGATTGGTAACATCACGCTTGTCAACTGTATTAATGGATTCTATTGGTCATTAATAGAAGGTACTATTTACTAATACGTATTTTTTAGAAAACAAACGTCTTCAGCATGATTCAAATCAATACTGTCCAATGTCACATGCAGAGGCCTTACCAGTGACACGGTCATATAGTGATAGATCTCTTATAGGGCTGATATCCTTACTCCTATCAATCATGAGTATGAACTAGATAAGTGATATGTCAATTTTTACTCAATGGTAAGCCAGAGTAAATGTCTTAGTCCTTCCAAAGGTCAGTCATAGCATGAATAGCTTAGTGGTAACATCACTGAATGTGACCTTTAATGAAGTGGTTTTAAATCATGTGGAAGGTATCAGTTTTACCAAAACTAATATAAGCCATCATGACCAGCTATGATTAGCATAAAAATTCATTTAACTTTTACTTGCAACCACCCAACACTGGATTGTTATTTTATAGTTGCGACTTAACAACATTATGGGAAACATATACGCCATGAATGGCGTATTTTTCCTTGAATTTTTCTATGAAGCCCAATGTCAAACATCAACGGATACTTCAGAATAAATGAATTGTGACTGGCAGTGGAATTCAAGACATGTGTTTTGATTTATTCAGAACTTGTCAGCTGGATGTACTAATGTCCTAATGTGGAAATCAATGTGTAAGTGGAGATAAATCCGTTTGACTAGTTCTAAACAGGCAGTAATTTGCATTCTGGATTCCACTGTTAGCTACACCTCATCTGTTCAAAAGGACTTAAGATATTCATTACAGGATTTACTTATGCTAACAATGACTAACCAAAGCTCAGTTGTGGATATTAACAACAGAATAATTCAAACCCTTACTAATAATGATATTGACAGATCCTTTCTTGATATTCGTAGTTTAGTTTTCCTACTAACTTAATGTATACTTCTATGATCTGTGAGAGTGATTATATATAATATGCATCATTTTAATGACTCCCGACAAAGAATGTTAATAATGTCTAGAAGTTTAATTTAATTAATTAAAATTCACTTAAAACTGTTTATGATGTGACTTTTACTTGCTGGAATACAAACTATTGAATCATTAAAAAGCAGAGTAATGTTAAAACTGGAGTGAAATAAACATTTTTTTGACTTAATTGATTACCGATAACATGATTGAAAATAGAAAATTTTACAATGGTAATCAAAATTTATAATTGCTGAAGAAACAATAAACATCAACAAAACGCTTCTTGTAAATATTGATTGTTTTCTTTAGAAAAATATTCATTAAACAACATTCTATCAACTGAATTAAGTTATTGCTCCCTTTCCTTGTCAGCGTTTCTGTGCTTGGTCATCAGATGATGAATAAACTATTTGATTTGCCGTAGCATAAAGTGATTCATTGGTCTAGAAGATTTTTGAAATTTAAATAAAAGTTAAACAAACATAATTTAATGTTTTTGAGAAAAAAGAAGGATTCAAAAATGAGGTGTTACGTCTCCCACAAATGTTATTAAATCAATAAAAAGTGTTCTGGTTTACATTTATAAAACTATGCGTAATAGATTAATGTGACTATTTTAAAGATCACTTCATCACCAAACTGGATTGCTTATTAAAGAATTAGTAAGTTTATCTATAAAGTATATGTACAATAAATATTACCACTAGTTCAGGTAAACTAATTTAAATATAAACATATACTTAACTAGTTTAAAAACACAATATAGATGGCTTAATAATAAATATGAATCATCAATTTAAGAATAACGTACCTCGGATGATAAAAACTTCTTTGTTCTTGGAGTAGGATTTCTTACCAAACCAAGAGGTAAATGTAAGCATGCATCTGGATCTAATTCTTTTAGCCGATTTGAGTGGTTTACATCAGTATATCTGTTTTTTGGATCATTATCTGTTTGATTGTAAATATCGGTTTCTGCCTTAGCTAATAGATCATCATCTTTTATTTTCTTTAAGGAAATATTAAAAAAATGGAGACGTTGATTTTATACGAATTCTTATAGTTAATAAGTTTAACTCTTGTAGAACTTTTATACTTATTGTAGTTCAAATTGTTTAAAATGTCTATAAATGTTGTCATAGTTTGGGATACTACTGAATGTTGATGAAGAACTGGTATTACTAGAGATATTGGTATTTGCCGCGATTGCTGAAAAACGACTACTTGCTATCTGTTACTACAGAACAAGACTAATTTGGCTCAATGATGATTTATTTACTCATCAAACACTGATTTAAATACTGTGCCAAAACTGCAATCATATCTGTAGTCAGAAGTCAAACTTAAATACAGCTAATTGACGGCAGTTGACGTTTATTAAACACTAATTTGATGCGTGTAGACCATTTACAGTATTAATATACTACGTCCTTTAACTAACATGTCAAACTAAATTGCTGAGTTCTATTTTGACTCATTTCTAACAAACATGCTTACTATGTAATATTTATTCTTTTATGTTAAAAAAAACGAAAGCACAAGCAATTTTGTTCAGGTTCCCAAAAGAATATCATATTACTGGTGGTAAATGTTTGCTTTTCTCGTTAATCATGGTTTAGGTATGGTAAAAATATAACTACATGTCTAATTCTTTAATAATTCTTTTGGAAGGAACATGACCAAACAAAATCGGCAGCAACTTTGATGAAAATGACGAGGTCATAGAATGTGTTTCAGTATTTGACTCTGTTCATAATTTCAAATGAAATTTAATTATACGACCATTCATTTACTACTTAAAGTAAGAGTACTCATAACAGATACGAATCATCAGACTTAAAAATAAGTGGTTGAAACTTTGTTCATCAGTACTTTGCAATACTCAAGAAAACATGAACTTTTACAGTTCACCGGAAAATACACCCAACTCATTGGGTAGCTCTTTCGGATTTTCCTACTTAAGTTCCTTCAAAGTGTCGTCAAGTAACAATATATCAGTATAAATATCCAGTGATTCAAACATTTTACCTACTTAACTTTATACATAAACACGAATATTCAGGGTTATTCTATATTTTAATAGGATTAACTTGGTAAACAAACGTTCAACCGAATGAAATCAAAATACAAAATGGTCGACTTTATGTACTCTACGTTTTAGCTCGTAAGAAACAGGTTTGTGTACTGAATATGGGTGACTGTAAAGTTAACAGTTATGAGTTTATTGTATTTTAAGATTTTTAAGCATACTTAAATTCAAAAAATTGGTTGGTTGCACCGAATAACATCTAAAACATGGTAGTTTTATCACACATAGAAATATGCTTAATAATCTCGTTTTCATGCAAATCATAAGTGGAATCATCACAAACGTATACGGTCATTGATGAAGCAGCATACCGAAAATAGAATCATGATAAGGAATATATATATATATATATATATCTGAAGTCATAGTCTTTATAACATTTTAGTGAATTCTTTCGGTTTCTCCGCCACATTTATTTGAAAACAACATAGAACCGAGCTTAGATTTAAATCGGTAAATAACGGATATATTTAGGAAAGTCTGGAGTTATGTGTTTCATAATTCCTGTTTTCTACTGAAGTAGACTCAACGTTTTAGCACACTTCCTTAATATACTTGATTAAACAATAAAATGATTGTTATCGTACTTTACCTAAAGTTCCCATTCCATTTGCTTAAAATTCATCTTCTGTACTTTTAGGTAACTATAGTATCCATTTTAACTTAATCAGTGATCAGATGTTTGGGTTATTACTAATAAAATATAATAATGGAAATTTTTTAATTGTTTCTTTATAATAAATTTCAAGAAACTAACGAAAAAGTGCATACGTCACATGACTATATTTTATATAGAGTGTACTTGAGAAAATCAATGTTTTATCTTCCTATTTAAGTACTCAAATGACATATGTTACTAGGGAAAAAATTTCAAAACATTCAAAGTCAAAACTACCTTGTGACTTGCACAGAGTTGAGATATTGAAAAAAGAGGTCATATGACTTAAATTATTGACTTCATAGCTCGGTCATAGCTTGACGTTTCCCAACTATCCTCTTCCTTAATACGAGTCGGTTAAAAAAACGGATAGTGTTAGAATGATCGAATTAAAGGAAGATATATACACTTTCTTGATCAATAACTCATCATTTACAATTGTTGATTGTTTCATTAGTGTGTTTGATGAAGTTCTGAAAATTTAATACGTTTGACCTTTATTCAAACTTATTCATAAAATAAGTTGTTAACACTTTTAACGACGTGATTTTATAAACGCTATCAGTTACCGAAAACAAACATTGTCATAATATATTATATAACATCGAACTATCAGGTTATTTATTTTCTTTGTCTTTTATTAAAATTTAAATTTTTCAGTGAGAACTGTGAATATTAGTTTTAATATTAGTGGTCCAGCAACAAATTTTAATCTTTCAATGACATTTGTTTAATTGCTTTCGTTCTACGACTGAGTCAGTTCTAAATACAACGTAGAAGATAGTAACGTAAGTCTGATCTAGTTACTGATTTTAGTTCATTCAATTTATTCAAGTGTGTATAAGCGAAGAGATATAATTCCATTATAAGATTTTAATCATTTAATAGCTAAGTCTCTATCTGTATTTCTGTAAAACAATTATTAACACTCTGGCAGAAAATTCCGTTGTTTTCTGTTTATTATAACACATGAATACGCAAAATATTCCATGTAGAATCATCAGTTTTCTAATTGTTCATTCTAAACAATTTTTATATAACCAGCTATCCCAAAAGACTGATCAGTGATTTCCGAAGTGCTAATATCAGACTTATACGTTAGGTATCGTTTTTAATTAATCACTATTACTGTTTGTGATACTTTTTTATTAGCACTGACCTAGACTATAAACTGACTTTCCGTTCATACAACAGTTCGTTACCATCAAGGTAGAGTGATGGTTGAAATGTTCTAGGTATCTTTTTAAGAATTTTCTAACGTAGGAACAGAATTAGCATACGTAAAAAATGTAAAGGAAATGCATCTTTACTATTTCTAAATAGTTTTTTATGTTCAGTTAAACGTTTAAATAAAAATATTTCACCCAAACTCACTTTGTATTTGTTTGAATCGGGTGGGGGATGCATCCCGGGTTTCTGGGTTTCCATCCAATCTATGGATGGTTTGACAGTTTTCTTGGTCAGTTTCTTAGTCTGACATTTAGGTTCTCTCTTTAAACATAAATGTATCTGTTTTAGTTCAGTTTCTGCTTCCAGATTTTGCATACGTTTACGTTCGACTTCAGCTAAACTGTGGATTCGTTCATCTTCACATTTCTATAAAATAAAATATTGTTGATTATATTAGAGTTGGTTGTTATAGCTTGCTAATAATAAAATGTCCAGGATGAAATATTTAAGAGTACATTCTCAAATTGTCAGGAATGTCAACTCTGAGGTTTAACCTCGTAAATTTTTATATCAACCACATGAAAAATTAGTAGAATAAAAGTATCCATTATTTCGACTTAAACAGAGTTTGAAAAATAAGAATCACACTTTTCTAATTACAGTTACTTCTGAATTATTTATTCCATTGGTCACAACTATACACAATAATACGTTAATAAAATGACATTAAAGTGTTAGTGATATTAAGGTTGATTGAGCTCGTAGAGGTAAGTTTTAAATTAAACGTGTATATTAGTTCGACCCATTATTTGAAAATTTTAAAAAATTTTCTTTGATTGTTTAAAATAGATTATAGAGATAATAAAGTTTGTTGTATTAAACACCGATTTCACAAATATAGGGAATCTTCAAACTGAATATTCGTAAAACGTCTAATTGGTCCTAACTTGTCAATATTATTCGCTCACTAGTGTGCGATCAGTATATACATATTTTTGTTTTGCTTTCTTCTATTAAAAACAGTTTGTAATTCCTGATACGATCAAGGATCAACTAAAAACGTGATCCGAAAATTATTAGTTTTCATGAAGTTCACATATGCAATATTTTACCATAATCATAAAATTACTTAATAATATAAAAACATTTTCGTTTTCTGCAGTAAAGTTTACAAGGAAACAACTGAATCAAAGTTTGAAATGGAAGTTGCAAGTTTGAGTAGAGGTTTGTTAATAATATAAACGCACGAATACAGTTTCCAAAAATATATTTGAACTAAGGAAAATATATCTTGTGTATATTGTTAATTCAGTCCTGATCATTACAAAATTATGGGATTACTGTTGAACCGATAAGTGAGACCAGAATGGTGTTGCTTTTTACTGGTGTTAGTTACTATGACAACGTTTGAAGACTTATTGATTTATTGTGACTTGTAACTTTCACGGCTTCCATATTACTGGGGGAAGAAGAAAAGTTTTCCTATCTTCTGACAAAATCTTTTAAAGTCTGTAATAACGTTGGTTTATTGATTTACAGAAGAATGTAGTATTAACGTAATTTAGAAAAAGTTACGAAAATCAGTCAGGTTGAACATTTCCAAAAAAATAATATACGGTTAAAGGTGTGTTGATATACATGTTATATAAATAATTTTTCTCAATTTACAACGTTATTTTCATAGTATACATGAATAATTATGAGTCTAAGCATTTTCTGGGTAATAAAAATTTCAAGTCTTTAAATAAAGACAAGAGAGAGATGATGTTCACCATTGAAAATAAGGTATTTTATATTTAAGCAATTTATACTTAACATTTTTATAAAGCATTCAATTATCGGCTTGATTGGGTAACTCGACTGAAAAACTATTTTGCGAACTTAATTTATCTAGATACAACACTATCAACTAATTTTAAGTAGTTACAGTACACTGATTTTATTACGAAAATAGTTGTTGTAAATTTGTAACACAATCAATAAAGTATGTCTAAGACATAATAGTAGAAAAAGTCTGGTTTAGCAAACCGATCAGTTGTTAGATATTGTATGAAACCAATTACGTTAGACTGAAAAGAAACTTAAGTCATCCTTACACAACCGTTAAAATAAATCAATGTAGAAAACAAGTAGTTTTTAAATACCCACAAAGTTGAAAATCATACACAGTCCCCAATTTAGAAGCTTAGTTGCGTTGAATAATATTGATTAGTCTAAGTAGCATGTGATGTTACGAAATTTACCTTGAGTGAATATAAATGTAGCAAGCACTGGAGAAAATGTTAAGTATGTGTTTGTGTGACAGTTTATTTAATAAAAATTTATAGAAAAAAAAATCCTCTTTATTCTTTATAAAGAAAACTGATATAACGTAATGCAAACACAGAAGACGACTTCATGGACTGTTTTGGTCCCGTATATTTGAAGTTATCATTCAGGATGATATTTAAGGAATAGTAATGAAACAATTTTAAGTCATTAGGATAAAGTTTAAGACCTTGTTGAAATTCTTATGTAAAAGTAACTTTAACCTTGATTTTTATTGATAATTATTTTTATTCCACAAGATTATAGCCTAGCTGTAATGTAGTCAAGATCTCAATATACGGAGTTAAACATAAAACAAATAACCTACTTTGGTCTGATTTAAATCATAATAAATCAGTACTACTAAGTAAGAATAGAAATATTGTATACTGACTATAAAATAACTCGTGTTTGGTTGAAAATAAGAAGGAAAATAAACGATATAATTCCTTTTTTCAAGCCTAATGAAATATTATAGGAAATGATTATAAAGAAATATGAGTCTGATTTACTAATTTACACTCACCTTATAGTGTTTCAATAACACGTTCACTACTTCGTCTATGACTCCAGGTTTCAAAACATTCGGCTGTGTAGTCTGTGTATACTGTAGTAGTTCACGCTGAGTTAGTCCAAAATGCATCATGATATATCAGAGAGATCAGTACATTTACTATTAATAAGATTATTCTTATGAGTTACCGTGAGGATGTCCTTTATATATAACATAAATCATTAATTTCCTTTTTCTGGTTGGTTAGGAAATTTTTAACTTGTGACTAAAAAAATTATTATAAATAAATTGTAAAAGAATTTATATGTCACGTGTTATTCACTTATACTAAAGTAAATATGATACGTAAGTGAATAACCGATGCAGTGGACTGATGACTGATTTTTGTTATACTGAATAACCAATACCTTATTCTTCTGTCAAATATTGTTTGATAAATTAACCATATGTTCATGGCATCTAACAACTGTCTCAGTAAGATCCGAACTGGGTATGTGCATTAGTTAACTTACAAGAAATTAATCTTAAATCCCTTAAAGATTAAAAATAAAAGATTTACAGAACACTACGTTTATATATTGCTCCGTACATCACAAATGGCAATTATAACTTTATGAATTGATTAGGTATAGTAAACATAATTTATCAAATTTTTCAACTATTGAACCAATACTGAACAATATTTAAGTCCAGAAGCTGCTTTTGTTATAAATCTCTGGTCAAACCAAAATTTTGATAGGTAATCAACTATCGACAACACTGTTCATCCATCATTGATCTTAGTCATTTGACGTATTAATGACTACATGGTAGGCTACTTTTAACATTTTTGTAGTAAATCACTCTATTACACCTATGTCATTTGCAATTTAAAAATTGATTCACCAAACCACGAAATTCGGACCTAGTAATTTGTACGTTTTACATTTTTATGTTTAGTATCAGAAGGGGTTTTTGGATATTATAGTAATTTTAATGTTTAAGATCTTGAGTCAGTTGAAGGTAGATCACCTTGGGAAACCTGGAAGCACTGTACGGCCATTTCGTTCTGTTCTAGGATTTCTCAGCAATGAGCATCCACGATCTCGCCTCGCGAGATTCGGACCGAGGACCTATCAGTCTCGCGCGCAAGCGCTTAACCACTAGACCACTGAGCCGGCATCCAACGGTGTTGATCTCTTACTTCAATTATGTTTATTCGGCTATTTTAATAGTTTGGATAATAAGATGGTACTGAATACAATAACTTTTTTAAACAATCATTCATAAAAACTTCCAATTAATTAGAATTAGTCAATGATTATTCCATCTGTTAACGTTTAGCAATCATGATCATTCTGTCCAGTTATCAGTATACGGATTTAAATGTTTTTATAACACATTAATCTATATTCATATCAAATTTATTTGTGGTCGAAAAATTACTGTGGACTACAGTGACGTTTTAGACACATAATTCACTTTATCAACTTCAGAAAAACAATAGTATGAATAGAATAAATTGACTACACTTTATTGTGTTAGGTAGTAAAAGACTAAGTGGGTGAGATGAAATAATTAGCTATAAAGTTGAGATGAATATGAATGATTATTGCATAGACAATCCCTAAAGTTCATTATTATTTTTCAGTTTACCTGTGCTTCATGTTTTTTTCTGCTCTATAAAATAATATTTTTGCAACCGATTAAAAAAATATTATTTGAGTTCCGGTACAAACCACTTCTTATACACTTCCAATAAAATGAACAAGGATTTATACTGTGTACCTTCTGTTGCACAGCTATATTTTCTTCATGTTCTATGGTAAATTGAACACCGCCATGAAGATCTCTAGTTAGTGTTTTGTATAGTATTGATCTCAAATGCCTTCTTTATTATACATTTCGAAACACCTGAAATAAAGTGTCGTTGCAACACTCACTTTCTAAGATAGGTATTTCAAGATCAGCTGTAAAAAAATCGTTAATTTATAAATATATAAGAGATATTTAGATTAACTTAGAAAATACTTTATTTCAATAAGTGTGTTAAAAGTCGCTTAATTCTGGTTCTACACAAGTACAAGCATTTGTGGAGAACATATTGAAATGTAACGTGTCCATCTTATTCTTCTATAATTAATTTAACTGATATCATATATCTTTTCTGTTTGTGGATGTAGATGATAAACAGAATATTTAATCAATTTCAAATTTTGCATATTTAAAGATGATTAGACGATGAGGATAATACAATGTCATGTATCATTACCAAGCTTTGACTTGATAATTTCAAATAAATTGAGTATTGGTTAGATTGTTATAAAGAAATTAATATATTTGTAATATCCCAGTAAGTAGATAAATTATTATTCTTTGAGAAAGTGGCTTACACTGAATCACTAAACGTCGGAAAATTTGACTTTTCTACTCATTGGGATATTACAAATATATAAATTTATTTAATATAATTTTATATTTCAGTTAAACAAAGAGAATCAGCTTTTTAATTTGGAAATGCTATGTTTGAAGCGATTACAAGTTCACCTAATCTGAGAACGGAACAAAGACTCTGTGACCAAAGATCAATAAGCTAGCTATTCTGATGCGTCCCAGCTCAGATAACTAGAGAGAAAAAGTCCAAGTTTGGAAGAGGGAAATATATTCCACAAGCAGCCAGAATCACAAACAACCACGACATGTCTAGTCCGAAATACACATTCATATATTGATTCATACACCCATTCCTAATTAATATTTATAATAAAATCACATATATATGAAAAATACATCGTTATAACAAATCATATGCTGAGAATGGTTCATGTCCATTGAATACAAGAATATCGTATGTTATATAGAACAAAAAGTTATAAGAGAAAACAAAACAAATACTACATTAGGTAATCATCACATTAAATTAAAACGGAATTAATATTGAACAAAAAATCGTAATGAGTAAATCAATCTTATTTTGACTTTTCATTTCGTCATAACGGGAAACTTTTTACATTACCGTTTAACAGATTTGCACTTAGATTTAAAATAGCTTTTTTAAAGGAATTAACCTAACAGCAATCATCCCCTCACTTTAAGGGCATTCATTTACATGGCTAAATCATCTAATCAAATAGTCTCATCTTTATACATAAATATATTAAAGTAATAAGCGCTCATAGTTTCTGATGCACTACACATCGATTATTTAATTTCTATTTTTGTCACTTCGATCGATAGGACTGTTATGATTATTGAACGACAACCTCATTATAAAGATTCTACAAACGCTAACCATAAATAATTAATTTTTTATCAGTAGGGGTTTGTGGAGATTTTAGAAATTTCACAGATTGAAATCATGAGTCAATTGAAGCTAGACCACCATGGAAAACCTGGAAGCACTGGACGGCCGTTTCGCCCTAGTATGGGACTCCTCAGCAGTGCTCATCCACGACCCCGCACCCCGCGAGATTCGAACCCAGGACCTATCAGTCTCGCGCGCGAGCGCTTAACCAACTAGACCACTGAGCCGGCATGTAGTCATTAATTTCGTTGAACTAATCAAAAGCACACAAGTTTCCCTTATACTAATTCGAATTACCTATAGCACATGGCTGATTAGTAACACAAACTATCTATCTAATTTGTCCAAATAGGTATCCACTAATCGCTAGCTTTAACAAGAATTACTCGAAGTTCTAATGTGCAGGTATAGGGCAAGAACTAACCGTCATGATATGAAACTTACCACATGATTATTTCGATAGATATGTTTTATTACAAGCTAATTAAAACTGAAAACCTGAAGCACTGAATTTAGATACCGATAATGAAAAACATGTTATGCACAACGAGAGAGCTGTATATTTCAGATTCAGTTTCATGGTCGTATAGACACTTCAAAAATCTCATTAATTGTTTTTTGCATTGAGTTAATTCATGATGAGACACACTTAAATAAAATCAATCCCCACAAACCCTCAATCTAATTTTAAAGAACAGAATATTAATTACAAATAATTAATTTGACATCTTCAAGACACGTTTTGTTTTTGTGTTAATAACTCAATCTTTGTTTTAAAAATCAAACTATAATTTAAATTTTCTGTTTATAATTTAAAAATATTTTATAAACAAAATTCAAATTACAGGCTAATTGAATAAATTAGACTTTTAAATAAATCTTTGTATACGATACATAGATATACTTTAGTTATAGTTATGTACAGTATGTCAACATTCATTCATATACAATCATTATTAAATATTCACATGCAAATGTCATTTACGAATATAAATATGTATATATGTATCACTATTTCAAATGTTTCAACATTTCTACTCCGAGCGGTCAATTTTTTATTCATGCTCCAGGTATTTTTAAATACATTTATTATTTAAATTTACTTGGTATTGTTTACTTGTATCTTCCCATTGTTATTTATAATGACAATGGACCAGTCACTTGTTGGAATATGTGCATCCTGTGAAGACTGTCTTGACATTGTCTTAAGTCACAAGCTTTATAAGCAAAGATCGATAGTGGATGGCAGTGGCTATCAGAACTCA